TCTCTGTGCCTTCGCACGCTTGAATACCGAACAAGAATCGTCACCGTGTGTATGTGTTTTGCGAGTGCAATGCGCGTGAAGCCGCATGTGCCTCTGAGGCAGCGTTTTTTTCTTTACTCTGACGACTGTATTTGTAACTTGCGGCACTCGCGGTCCAGAAATGAGCTTGATCCAGCGTCCAGCGGTGACGGAAGAGGGGGGGGGGGGGGGGGGAAGGTACGCCTTTTCTTCGTCAGTACAGGGTTTACAGAATACTGCGCACAACAGCTGCTCATTACTGATCAGCGCTGGTTCATTATCTACCTACTTAATTGCACTTGACGTTTGAGCCAACGAGCTTGAGTAAACTTAGAGCGGTAAACCAGCGGTCAAAAATGGCACCCCTTCGGTTGCCGCTATCTTGCCTGTTTGCCACATTAGTGATCACGTGACGTTAAAATGGTTGCGCCCAGAGGTGGGCCAGATCAGATTGGCCAGATCGCGGTCAGCAGATGGGCCAGATGGGCACTCTAGGGATGCGTTCGAATCTTACTCGAAAGGCGCCGAGTTATTCCGGCGGATCAAGTCACGTGACAAGGCAGATAGATCAACGCTGGACGCGGGTAGGTTTTTGAACGCAACGAGTGCAAGAACTCCACCCAGGAGTGCAGGAGTGAGATAAAAGCTACGTTCGATTTACTTGCACCTCCTGCGCCGGTGCAGAAAAGTGTAGAGCAGTCTACTTCCGGTATATGTATTGAGATACGACCAGAAGTACACCGCCCCACACTTTTCTGCACCGGTGCAGGAGGTGCAAGTAAATCGAACGCAGATTCTATTTCACTCGTGAGTGAAGTCTTGTACCCGTTGCGTCCGAAAACCTACCCGCGTCCAGCGTTGCTGAAACGTCTTGTCACGTGACTTGATCCACCGGAGTAACTCGGCGCCATTTGAGTAAGATTCGAACGCAGCCCCAGAGTGCTCATCTACCAAGGTGCTGACCGCGATCTGGCCAATCTGATCTGGCCCACCTTTGGACGCAGCCATCTTAACGTCACGTGATCACTAATGTGGCAAACAGGCAAGATGGCGGCAACCGGGGGAGTGCCATTTCCGCTGCAGGTAGTGGGTTCCGGTTTACCGCTCTAAGGTAAGACTCAAGCTCGTTGGTTTGAGCGCGGCTCGCCTAATTCAGCTTGGTCAACAGATTGTACACGACCATATAAGCCGCGCTTCAATTACATTCAATCTCGCCGTCTTGTAATTTTGCCTTTGAAAACGGGCCTTGCTCTACAGCGTTGCTCATTTGTGCTGTTATGTGATCTATAAGAGCAGATTGGGAACATAGTCATGGTTAATAGTGCATAGTATAGACCGTTCCATTAGGGTCACAGCAGAAATGGTGAAAAGAAAAAAAAAAAAAAAAAAAGCCCTTCCCCTCTCACTCGTATGTCGTCTGCTCCGCCGAGTGGGCAGTACCTAGCATCCGGCTAGCGTACATACTCTGTTTAAAATCGCGTCATTTTGGAAATTTCAAGCGCAAATGCGCAGATTTTGGTATGCCAGTTATCGTGTATTACTATGCTAGATAAAAAAGACTAACAGAGTCCAATTGCGCTGTTATCCGCGTGCAAATAAAAAAAAAAAGGGAAAACTGTGTCAGACTGGCCGGTCTCTCCGGCGAAAAGTGAATTTGGTGGCTGTACATTTTTTACTATACAGAGTTCGTACTGGTGTAGGCCTTTAGCGACCATGAATCAATGTTTGAAATAATAAATAAAAACGTGCTCTCCTGCCGCAATACTCGCAGTAGTTGAGCGTAGTGCTGCCGGCTGACTCAACTGCTATTTAAGTAACCGAAAAAAGATATGTCAGTTGATCATTTACCGAAGTAGAACAACAGAGAGCTCTAGGCTGATTTTGGAGTAGCCATAACTATTCTAAGAACGCGAACCACCTCACGACGGCAGCCACGAGCGAGAGTTCAATGTTCCGTACAGCCCGCCGATACAGCCCAAAGGTGGAGAATGGCAACCTCCCGTTTTGTCATCTGCTAGCGGAGTCGGGCGCGTGCCCTCTCTCTCATTTTACCGCGCCGAACCCACTGAATTTCCCAGATGTATGGAGAGGGCGCTGCTGTCGAACGAAATGGTGCCAACTAGAGAGCGCTAAATGGAATGGCTTTGCGGACGAGCCTCGCCGCAACTTCGCTCGTCCGGAGATAATCTACATCGCGATTGCGCTGGATGTCACGTGCTCTCTTCTGGCTGCTCTCCGAGCGTATGCCAGGGTAAACCGTTTATAACAAAAAAACAAAAAAAAAAAAAAAAAAAAAAAAAAAAAAAAAAAAAAAACACCGCCTCCAGGCTCAAAATACAAACGTGCGATTGTCATTTACGGACAATGTATTCAGCCTATTTCTGAACACGAAGGGTATATTTCAAATTTCGTAAGTTTCCCTTTATTATTATGAATTTGTTTGGTTCTGCATGTGGGCCTTTGCAGATGTCCTGTTTTGCTCTGTAGTGTAAAGGGAGGTAGAGGCCTCGTCAAGCTAAAATAGCAGCTTTTTTCTTTGTTTTTTTCTACCACCTTCCCTCCCCTTGTTTGGAGAAATTTTTTAAACTACTGTGGCTGGTGAAATTGGTCACAACGCGAAATAACTCTAGGGAGCTGAAAAACGCTGCCTCTACGCATAGAAACACATACGGCGTAAGCTCATCAGCACGTCATCCGACGAGATTGCGAGCCCGGATTACGTCGCGCTAAACGCCCCAAACGCATTGGTTCTCAACCAGTGGTCTTTCGCGGACCCCTAGTGAATCGGCGGAGCTCATGAAGGACCACGTTCGTGGTGAGTGGAAGGGACGAACGGAGAACCAGAGGAGCGGGGACGGCAGCGGCGGCGGCGGCGCAGAGACGGTGACAGGGACTGTCGGCCTTGATGCGGGAAGCCGTTTTAACGAAAAAGGTGTGCGCGTAAAAATAGAAATTCCTGTGCTCCGCCTTGCAACAGCGTTGCACGAAGGACCGGGATGTCTAATTTCATTAGGGACTTTTCGCATATCGCATACACTGCAGATTTCTGGTCTTGTGCATGGCCGCCAGCTCAATCTGTGTTCAACGTGACGGCAAACGCTTCCACTAATAATGAAGAGCTCTAGCGTATAACCTACGGAAAGTCTGTTCTTTGCCTTAAGTAGGAGAAAACTTGTCACGCAACGGTATGTCGAGCAATACACATCGGCAATGGGTTAGCGGTTTAAGGCCGTTACAAGGAACATGACTATTTATTACAAGCACTTTCATAAAACAGATTACGCGTACTTGCTTTCAGGTAATTACAAAGCAAATAAAGAAATGCTCGAAGCATTTTAAGCGTGTCTGTTTTAGCCAGTCGTTCGTGACGAGAGCTTAGAACGGGTAGCTTTAACGAGAGGGGCCGCAACGTTGCAAATAGCAGGGTACAACATGTACGGTATATTAAATATTTATTTTCGATAGAGCAATAAATAAAACCACTAAACACGCCGATTGTGTTAATAGGCAGTTTTAGCATAGCGTTACCGCAAGCTACCGTTGGCTACCGTGAGCACGGCAACGCTCCTGGCACGCGCTAAAAATTGTGCTTCAAAGGCGCAGCGCGAGCTTCCGGTTGTAATGCTACACCGCACGGTAGCCTGCGGTAACAAACTTCCTATCAATAACCAGAAAGCAGTTTGATCACACGTTGCAATACACTAAAACCGAGGCGGTGAGCAACGAGTTGTGAGCCTGTGACGCGAAGACACCAATACTGTGAACGCTGCTCTTCCGGAGCTTGACAGTCACCTTGCGCGGCTCACTTTTTAGAGCACAAATGGCCAGGCAAAGCGCAGACACGATATCTTCATCACCCTCAAAAATATTCTGCCACAAACAGTGACGTGGCCGGTGCCTAAAACGCGCTTGCTCACCACAAAGCTTTGCAAGTTTTTGTTTCTGCTACTTTTAAATATCAGCATGCTCGTTTTCCTAACAGCGCATCAACGTCTCCGTCACCTGCAATATGACCCTGCCCTACCTGTCTCGCATTAGTAGGCAAATAAATCACTTATAGCGCGCTGACCAGCGTCAGCGAGCAGGCCCATGGGAAATCCTGGAGAATCTATCCCCGTCTCTTCCGCCATCTTGAAACTACCGCCCCGCCACCTATAGGGTGTTGGAGTTGCGAATAGGTTCACTACGATAATGATTTATAAATTGATATAACTTCTGGAATTTCCCTTGCTGCTACCTGTCTCGGAGAATGACACAATGCACTGGTTCAACAACACGTAGTCATTCATCGACTGTTATCGCCCGCGCCAGAATCCCCAGCTCCTGGTACATATGCTCCGACGGCCTTTTATCAGCAGCGGAGCGCCGCTCGCGTGGCCAACTGCCCTTAGCCCCTCGCGGTGGAAATGACCAGGGCTGATTTAACATGCAGGCAACCTGGTCCAACGCTTCTGATCCCAAAGTTGCCCACAAACTAATGGCTAGTGTGAAGTGAATTTCTCCAATAGACATAGACACGAAAAAATTACCCTAAAATTGTAAAGTTTATTTTCAATCTAAAAATAGACGACTTTTATTGTTGGGCTTGACTGATGAGGCAGGTCTTGGCGGATCCCTAGAATGCCTCCGCAGACGCCAAAGAGCCAGCGGACCCCCTTTTCGAACCACTGCACTATAGTGTAACTCTCGGCGACTGCGATTCAGCTAACTGTCCCTGCCCTCGTGACAGTGTCATGTGACTGTGTAACTATAAACTCTGACGTTTTAAGAAATGCAGAACGGAGCCTATAATCGTTCTGCTTTTTGATTTGGCGTTCTTATTGGTTAATGCGACTATCCCATTGGCTGCGGAGCGAGGATGATGTGTGCGCAGAACTCCTTCTACCTTGTTTTTCTTAAGAAAGACTGAAGGGCATGAAAGGGTGTACACGGCGCAGAGGTTTCTGCCTACCTAGCCACCCGGCGTCGTGAGTGAGACCAACCTGGCATCTGTCGCAGGTACGACCCGCGAAGCTGGGTCGGCAGTTGCATTGGCCAGTGGTCTTGTTGCATTGTGGTCCCAGGGATCCCGCCACGCTGCAGTCACAGGCTGCGAAAAAGGCTAGTTCTCAGCTCTGTAGGAGCGGAGGCAACAGCGAAAGCTCAGGCATGCAGCGATTGCGTGGAGCCTTTACGCTATGCGTCACATGTCATCTGGTTACTTGGTGTTAGATTTTTCTGACCGATTTTGTTTTAATGCGAAAGCATTAACTGTTTTAGGGAGCGAGCCGACGTCATCAGGTTTGAAGCCGCGCCAAACGGCACCTTAAATCCTTTCTCCAAGTGAAGCCAGCTCCAAGCTATGAAACTACGCGAAAAGCTAGCCAACGGCACCTAAATTCCCCAATCCCAAAGGAGCGGAGCAAAGCTGATGGATTTTCGGCTTCGGTCCCATTGGCCGCTGCGCGTCAGTTTCAACGACTGCCACCCCAAGGCGCTGTGTGTCCGTCAGCGCGCCGTTAACACGCGCGCTCTCCTCTGCGCGATAACCTTGGACGCTCCGTCCAAGGTTATCGCGCAGAGGAGAGCGCGCGCGCTGAACGGCGACGAAAAGTACGCAGCAGACGAAATAAGGGAGTGGACGAGCGGCTTGCATGCTTTCGCATTCACAACTCATAAGAAATGCATTCACAATTCATAAGAAGTGCTTAGGTGTACCGAGACTTTTTAATTTATCGGCTCTTTTATTTGATATCAATCGATCGGGCACCTAGTTTAGGTAATTTTATTACGAACGATTTTGGGTTTCTACTAGAAAATTCAATCACTCTTTTCGCCACATCTGAAGCCGCAAAAATTCTCGGCAACGGTATCTTCAATCATTTATCAACGAGAAGAGGTACGGATCGAAGCAGCGTGTCAACGACAGAAAGTCAGCAGTTGAAACTTCTTGCGCCGCGTTTAAAAAACATGTACGTACATAAAGAAGACGAAGAAAGTAAAAAAAAAAAAGTCTCGGTTACTTTCGGTATAATCGCTCAATCATTTTCGTATCAAGTTACCAAGTAGTCTTATCACGGGCACCGCACAACATTGTTAGCTCAAACAGGATATCCGTGACGTTTCGCAATTTACTTACAGTAATTAAGATATCGACGAGCACTATATTGTGTTGCCTCATAATTAACACTTTCCCCCACACCGGTAGTTTGGAGCGTCTTTGAACCGAAAGAAAGGAAGCGGCAAATCTACCGATCACACATTTGTGCTGTGACACACTCTGTGAGTCAAATAAGGTGGAAGTTTTCTACAGTCATTGATTGCTTAAAGGGGTCATGAAATGATGTCTCTACTTTTGCTGAATACTACTTAGAATCTTTCTCTAACGTTAATAACTAAATAAACATGCCGTTTCTTTTTAGGTATTGGCAGTTGGTAAAAAAAAAAAAAAAAGTCGAGAAATATGAATATCGTTCGTTTCCTTAACTCAAAGCGAGAACAAGCGGCCATGTGGCCTGGTGCCTATCCTATGTCCTCAACGTTAATCATACCCACGCGCTGGGGTTGGCAAAGTAGAAAACGCATCTGAGCTTCAGGCATCGTTAAATTACGGCTATTCTCATCACTGCAGTGGTTGGACACGAGCCACTACCCAAGTGTTCGCCGATTCGTTGATTGTTACGAGCCAAAATCGAGTGCTCATGCAGTTCTCGTGTCCAATCCATGAGCCACGCTCGACTGTCGTCAGGTGAGTGGTTTCGACCCCACAATTACGCCATCAAGCTTTACGAAGGCAAGATTGAAAGAAATAGTTCCCTTTTATCCTCGCGATTTCTCAGCAACAAAGGAACTTCTAAATCAGTGCGGTCTGTGCGAGTATACTTGGGCCAGACTGGGACCAGTAAGTCTCTGCAAAGGCATGCATAACATTCCAACCCGATATCGTTTCATAACCCCTCTGAGTACCTAGCTCAGGACATTAGCTTACTATCCGTGCGGCTTGTGCTTTGTAATTTGTTCTTCCGCCTTCTCCTCAGCTTGCAGCAGCTTTAGTTGCTGCGGAGCGATTATACGGCGAGCATATGCTCCAAAATACGGCTTGGACATATTGGAACGCAAGGACGGGCGCTCTAAAGGACAACATAAAAAACGTTGCAGGATACGCGCTATGACGAGGTGGTCAAACTCGCTCCGTCATTAGTTGAGGTTAGAGGGAAACAAGAGCACATGGACTCATCTGGAACGTAAACAAGCGCACGAATTGCGCAAAGAGCAGGCGGACTTGCACGGTGTATAATGTGCTTGGGAATCGTCACGCCCTGTGTTTTCTCGACTGTGACCGATTCCTCTTCGGCAATGAGTAAAATACATCTCACGCCTGCAGTCTCCCGTGGCAGGGTTTCCGAAGAATCCGTCCAGGCACTCCAGGCAGTTCCAGCCGCCTGTGTTTCCGCGGCAGCGCAGGCAGCGCCCCGTCCGGTGGTCGCAGAAGCCCGGCACAGAGGTATCGGCGTTAGGTCCGCAGCGGCACGGCCGGCACTGTTCCCCGGGCACGCTGGGATTGCCATAGAAGCCGTCGGCGCACCTGCGCGGAGGCAAGGGTAGAGTCAACTGTTATTAAGCATACTAGGTAGCCGCCGCTTACTTTATGGGGTTCAGCCATACGCCCAATCAGGTCTCGGTTTGTGCTTCCAACATCCTAAACACTGATGTCACTGCACTACACACAACTTTGCCCTAAATAGATATCCATAAAGTCAGTGTGCTTTTTTACTTTTTGCTGAATTTTTTTTAGTCGTGAATTGGATCATGAACCGATATCCGGAGCTCACAAAATAAGGCTGGAGCGAAAGGCATGATGCTCCAAAATTCCAAAGCATCACTCACACAGCGATATCTCTAAAGCCGTGGTCACACTGCCTTATACATCATACAAAAGACCGCCTGCGTACAGATTCGAACTCTAGTCACCGCGAGATCCGTGCTTTGATTGCCGCATGGAAATGCGTTCAAGGAGAAACTAATCACCCGGCGCTCGAACCACGGATATTGCAGTCACTCATGTTTGCAGACTGTCTTTTGTATGATGGCATGAGCAGTGTGACCCTGACTTAACGGATGGCCATATTTTTGGAAAAGTGTACGATTGAACACGGCCAACGAGTCACCTCACGTCACGATCTTCCTTCCCTCTCCTCTTCGCCTCGTCCCCTCGACCAGGTAAAACGAAACGAGAAAGAGAGAAGTGAGGCCGCTTCCCCTTATTGTCAACTGTTACCAAAGAATCGTGACGTCACATTTCTCGATTGATCGCGCCTTTCTTTTCAAAAATACAGGCATCCCTTGACGTCGATGTACAAGGGATGTTCTAAAGTTTGTAGCGTCCCGTTCAACGCTTCTGCAATTTTATTTTGTGAAATTCAAATTTCAGTTCATCATTCCTTTAATAATGACAGGAAACATGGATGTCAATCAGCTACATTAGCGTCTTTAGTGTTTCCCAAGTAAAAAGAACATCGTAGAAGCTGGTTCAACGCAGCTGTGAAGATGCCATTCGGTAGCGGCGTTGGGAGGGAGGTTGGAACGAACTGTTACTATTTGCTGTCCATCATGACAGATCGATGCGTGAATTAGCGTGCCAAAAGCCCCCCGTCCCCTGACGCTGATTTGGGCCACTTTATGTCGTCAACTAGCATCCATACATCGCCGATTCGTGCTCTTAAATTTATTTATAAAGTATGTATGTTAGGTCCGGTCAACTTTAGACTAGCGTTTTGTTTAGGTTATGTTCAGGTTCGGTCTTGACTAGCTCTCGGTTAGGTTTAGGCTTAGTTTTGGCGTAGCTTTGGTAAAGTCCGGTTTGTAAGGATTAGGTGACTAGATTGGATTAGACGGAGTGAAGTGAGGTTGGGTTAGAGTTAGGTTGGGCTACGTTAAGGTTAGCTTAGGTCAGTAGGCTTCGGGGGTAATAGAAGTAAATAATAGACATATGCGTCTCAACGAAGCCTGTGACGCTTCGACGTCGTCAGCAGACGAGCCAACGTCTGGGCAAAAACAATCCCTTGCCTCTCGCATTTGTTTCCAGCGTGGTTGGGTGGGCACTCGGTGCACACGTAGTCGCTCTCCCCAGTCGGGGTGATCACGGTCCGGCACTCGGACGAGAACTGGTTCGGCTCCGAGCTCAGAGGGCAGGCGCAGGGACGGCAGTCGTCGGGGAATCCCAAAGCGGCGTTGCCGTAGAAGCCGGGCAGACACTCCCCGCAATTGGAACCCGTCGTGTTGTGCAGACATTCCTGCGAGTAGAGCTCGTGTGAGGGCTAGAGAACAGACACATAGCTTCATCTTTTAGAGCGCAGCTCTTAGGCACCCGTTTCCGGCTGGAGCGGCGTCGGCGTAATTGTGCAGTGCATTATGGGACATTTTCCCTGATGCAACGCGCGGGTAGGAGGACGAGGGGGAGGGGAGGAGGGAAGTAGGAGTGGGAGGGGGAGGAGGAGGGAAAGGGGAGGAGGGGGTGGGGAGGGGGAGGAGGGAGGAGGAGGAGGGGAGAAGGAGGGATGAGGAAGAAGAGAGGAGGGGAGGAAAATGAGAGGAGAGGAGGACCTTGAAGGATGAGGGGAGGAGGAGGTGAAGGAGGAGGAGGATGGGGGAGGAAGACGAGCAGGAGGAGTAAGAGGAGGGAGGAGGGGAGGAGGAGTAGCAGGGAGGATGAGGAGGTGAGAAGGAGGTGTATTCCCTCCCCTCATACCAATCTCCATGATCCCGACATTCGACAGCATGGCACCCCGGCTTTTGTGACATCATTTGTTGCCAGTTCGGAACGACTTTTGATGTATGGGGCGGAAGAGGGCACGTGATTAGACACACCAGCCGGAGACGCGTTCCAGGCACCATAATATTACTGTTTAGAAAGAAGACTAGTATGAAATACCAAGTTTTATACTGGGGTCGATGCCCCATTAATATTTATATTATGGCCAATTTTTTCTTGAAACAGCTAACACAAAAATAGTGTCCGGTTTTTTTTTTCAGCCATTTTAATTGACCGTAACTTCTAAGCAAATTAAAAATTGCTCGGTACTCGTGATGAGCGCGTGCGGTTGTTGCAAACTCACGTGGCATTGTCCCGTGTAGGCGTCGCACGAGTCGGCGTGGTTGTTGCAGTCGCACTTCTCACAGCGGCCACCGACGAGCGTGTCGTTCACGCGCCGGTAGCCCGGAGCACAAAGCTGCGACGAACGACAAAAAGTAGGCATAACCGTCACAGCTCTAACATCTTCCATAGGATCAGACTAGAGCCACTAAATCAGCCGCGCTTCAGAGTATAGACACTTCATTCTCGCATCACCTTCTGAGAGCCGCCATTTTGATGCTTAGCGCAAAGCGGGTGCCATTGGCGATAGTTTCGATTAAAAAAATGCTGCTTTCTGAGCTTTAAATACAATGTCAGACAACTCAGGCTTTATGGTTTCGCTTTGTCGCAGGCTGCAAATTCCTGGAGGGCAAAAAAATCTTTTTTTTTTTGTGATTGCAGATAAGGATTTATCCAGCTGGAAACAATGATTTTAAGCAACAAGGTTCTTGAAATGTTACTGAAGTGAAGCGAATTTAGTGGCCATAGCCCACACAAGAGGTTGGTACGATACCTCGCACGAGAGACCGGCGTAACCCGTTGGACACTGGCACATCTCCACGGAGGTCATCTTTCTCAGGCTTCCCGAGTCCTTAGATGCCGATGGGAGCTCCACGTGATGCATCCTGAACAAGAAAGTCACACATCACAATCTCACAAAAAGGCAAACAGCGCGCCAAAATAGGGACAAAGGAAGCGCACACAGGACAAGCGCTGTTTGCCCTGTTGTCAGTATGAACCAACTACCCCACGTCGCCGTCTAATCACAATCTCAAACTATGTATCCGCACATTTAGGTTCCACGTCTTTCCGGACAAAGATCTGACTTTCATGTTTGACATAGCATGAACCAATAAGTTATATATAAAATCACTTTCAGCACAAACTGACAAAATTAAGCAGTTATATCAAACTAAAAAAAAAACGCGTTGCTGCAAGCTATTGGGAATTTGCGTCCTTAAAACACGAAGCAAGTAACTATTGTTTTGACAATATATTCTCTTTCCTTGTTTACTTTCAACTAATGCCTGATCGAATGACCCACGGTACCATTCTTTCACATTTTTTAGCTATAGCCCGTGACCTAAAAGTTTCAGTATTAACCTTTAGTTGAGGCACAATCTTCCCTGCATAACTTCCAATTTCGAAGTACTGCCGAGCTCAGGGACCGCCAGGAGCTACCTTGACACAACTATCACCGTGCGCTGAATGTTCATGAAAGTCCGCAGAGCACCTGGGTTCCTGGGTTCGATCCCCACCCCTGCTCGTTTTGATCTGGATGAGCATATATGTACCGGCGTGCGGTCGTGTATCACTACTCCGTGCTGCACACTAAAGGCCCCCCGGCTAGCGGTTGTACTGCACTGGCTAAATTTCTCATCTACAGCTGAGACACTAGACGCCCCTTGGGCTGACTAACTTCCGGCTGAATACACACCACAATTAATGCGTAGACCACCTGGACATTCATCTCAGATCATAGCGCAACCGATACGACAACCTGGTGGGTAAAATCAAGTATCGTTAAAAGCGCAACGTCACAGCGTTTATCATCTTTCTTTGAGGGTGGTGTCATAGGCTACATCCTTCCAAAGCAGTGAATGCGCTGCAGCCTTGCACATTTAGTATGTGTTTATGTTGGTATATCTGCTAGCTTTTGACTACGCTCGTTCTCACGGTAGAAAAAAAGTATAGCGTTGACTCACGCTCCTTCGACCTGGTCGCTGTGGTACTTGGCACGCAGCAGAAGACGCTCGACGTCGTTGAGGACCAAGGTGAACTCTGACCGGGTCGCCGGTCGGAGGGGTCGGCCGTCCCGGTCCAGCACGTGCCAGCCGTGTTCACGCAATGGCAGCGCTATGCTCACGTTGTCTGCACTAGGCCGCACTCCCCAGTTGTAGCCCAACTTCTTGCCGTCACCCTGCAGAGGGGCAGCCACGTGTCAAGTGCTCCGAAATCCACATGAAAATCTTTACTGTCAGCCCAAACGATCGGCGAGTTCCTGTCACACTAACGCGCATACATTCATCATGGGGCGTTTTTCGGCGGGTAGAGTAAGTAGCAGATGTGAACATGAATACATGATATTCCCCGAGGGGTCCTCTGGTTGTCTACAAACCGTCCTGACCTCCTTAAGATTTGTCTGCCCACGTGGGGACATATGTTGGCCCTCAATAGTAACCGCTAGTGTTGACGTTCGGTCTAGTCCATAAGCTAAAAAGTTTCGTCACTTTTCTTCACAACTGTTGAAATGCAGTGGTAATGCAGAAAGTATTGTGTGTTTCTTCCAGCAATGTTCCAGGTAGGAACTCCGCACGCATTTTGAGCCTCGATGGCACAAATATCGTCATATTGATTTCAATCTTAGCCATTTTTTCTAATGGCTTCGAGGAAGTGATTTATGTCAGACTTATCAAGTTCTGTGAAACGATTATAATCCTTACCGATTCTCAATATGGCTTTCGAAAAGGTCGCTCCACTGAACTTGTCGTATTACAGCATATATAAATGATATGAAATAATATTGAAAACAGACGTGTCATGCTGTGAATTTTTATTGGTTTCTCTAAAGCTTTCGACCGCCTAGAACATAAAATCATCCTAGAAAAATTATATTCGTATGGAATTCGAGGGCATTTCCTTAGTTCTAGTTAAACGTTACCTGAGCTGTCGTTAGCAAACTTAAAGAAACGGGTATTCTTCAGTGCGGAAACCAACTCGGACAGGGGCACCTCAAGGTAGTTTTTCATGGTCATTGATTTTTAACCTGTATAATAATGATAAAGTCAATATTGCATGCGTGTACCTCATACGTAGCATATGCTAATGATGCTAGTATTTTTTTTTTTCAGGTGAATAATATTGATAAGCTAGTTTCTGATGCAGACATTTGCCTAGATAATACGTGGACGTGGAGTGTATTAATAAAATTAATGCATAGACTGCCTTAAATTCTTTAAAAATATATAAAAAATAAAGCAAAAGGAGTTGCTTTCAAACCAAAAGGTAGATTGCGCAATGCCAGCGCAAAGCTAATATTGAACTCCTCTGAGGTTGAATTTGTAACTACTGTCAAAACGTTAGGATTAGTTTTTTATGAAGATATGTTATGGGACTCTTATATCAACAAAACATTACTCAAACTCGCGAATATTGCAGGTGTTCTATACGAACATCGCCATATCCTGCCAACTAGTGTAAAACCTAGAATTCATAACGCATTATTCAATTCTCGTTTATCTTATTGTAACCTATTTTGGGGAACTACGACAAATACCAAGTTAATTAAATTGTTTTACAGAAGAAAGCAATTCAGGTCATAGGAAACGCATCGTATTGCGCACATACTGCCACGCTTTAAGCATAAGATGATGAAACTTATATAGTACTTCAAGTTTAAATTTCTGACAATGTACACGGCATCGCTTAGTATTCCCGATCATCCATGGTACCACGGATTTCTAAACTAAGTGTAAAAATTATCATAAATGGAATACGTAGGACCGAGTCCTTGAGAATGCCGCGTCCTCGAGTAATTACGGGCTTCAGATGATTCAGCACACGCTTCCAACTGTACTCAACTCTTTAAAAAAAAAAGGATAATGCTTGTATTGACGCGATAAATAAGAAAACAATACGCAACATATTCTGCTCTGGCCGATAATAATTTGATATATATATATATTGTTAAGAAAATCAAGACGGTTTAAAATCCCAGCGTTCGGCGTTCAACGTTCATCGCCATCCGTCCTTTTTGTCGCGCCTTCTTCCTGTCTTCCTTTTCGTCGTCTTCTCATTCGCAGCACCGCCGCAACACTGCCCCCCAACAACACATGAACCTCGTCCAGAGGTGGTGCAAAAAAAAAAAATATTCCGTCAGGTTGATAGGGAACCAGCCGATCAAAATGAACTACGTGAACTTTCCGGCTTAGCAGGTGCCGAACCCAGTACACGACGTCGTTTAGTCGCTTGACGACTTCGTAGGGGCCTTCCCAATTGGGCTGAAGTTTAAAAGCCAAGTGAGGGATGCATGATCAGTCCTTAAGAGGAACTTTGTGCCGTACAAGTAATGATGGAAATGGGTCACGGCTTTTACAACTGCCAAGAGTTCCCTTCTCGTAACGCAGTAGTTCTGTTCTGCCCTGTTTAGAACTTTGCCATAGTACGCAATCACTTTTTCGGAGCCTTCCTGAATCTGGGACAACACAGCACCCAAACCGACGTTACTCGCGTCGGTATCGAGGACGAACTTGCAGTCTGGTCCAGGAAATCCAAGAACTGGAGGGGCGCTAAGGGAATTCTTGAGTGTGAGGAAAGAATCTTGTGCGTGTACACTCCATTCGAACGCCGTATTCTGTTCTGCTAAAGCGTACAGCGGTTTGGCAATTGTGGCGAAACCTTTTACAAATCGCCGGTAGTAGGTCCACAGTTTAAGGAAGCTTTTAACGTCGCGCTGATTTTGAGGTCGAGGCCAGTTTCTGAAGCACTCTGTCTTCTCAGGGTCCGTCTCCATTCCTTTTTCAGAGTCGATGTGACCGAGATAATGCACTCTCTTTTGAAATAGAACGCATTTCTTGGCATTTAGCTTCAAGTTTGCCTTTCTCAGACGGTCAAATACGAATGACAAATTACAAAGTGCTCCCTGGAAAGTTTTGCCGTGCACAAGTATATCACCCAGATAAACCAAGCAAACATCGAGCGGCAGGCCCTTTAGGACCTGGTCCATGAAAGGCTCAAACGTTGCAGGGGCATTACAAAGGCCAAATGGCATTACTTTGAATTGCCACAGACCATCTCCAGTAGAGAATGCCGTCTTCTCGCGGTCTCTTGGGTCCATTTCAACTTGCCAGTATCCGCTCCTGAGGTCTAGTGTGGAAAACCAGGAAGACCCCGCAATCGCGTCGAATGTGTCATCAATCCTAGGGAGTGGATAGAAGTCCTTCTTGGTAACATCGTTCAATCGTCGGTAGTCAACGCAGAACCTCGTGCTGCCATCTTTTTTCTTTACCAAGACGACCGGCGACACCCACGGGCTCGATGAAGGCTCAATAACATCTTGTTGTTGCATATCTTGGATCATCTGGCCGACTTCGTTACGTTTTGCCAACGGAATTCGCAGGGGCTGTTGCTTAATCGGAGCTGCATTTCCTGTATCGATGCGGTGTTGAGCAGCGCCTGTCCGTCCGGTCTCCAAAGAAGAAGCAAACACATCTCTGTATTCGTTGAGTAAACTCAGGAGATGTGCTTGTTGTGCTTGATCAAGGTGGCATTTGGAGCGGTCTGCTAGATCCAGCAAGGAAGCCGGCAATTCCTCTTGTGTCATATGAACAAGATCCTTTCGTGGGGGAGTAAAGCTCACAGCACGGGACCACTTCGCAATGCGATACCCCTTCTTTAGGTGGATAGGTTTATCCGTTAGGTTGGCAATGCGGATAGGAACCTTTTCGTTGCCGAAATCTATTAGCGTTCTTGCTATAATGATTCCTGGAACAGTATCGCACGTGGCGTCGCCTTCAGCGACCGCAGTACCATCCGAGCAGCTATTGCCGTCCGTCACCCAGACAACGTTTTCGCTTTGTGGAGAAATCAAAGTGGACTTGGAGCATAAAAGGAATCCCCCGCCGTTTTCTAAAATTGCTCGTTGGCTGTACAAGATGACGTGTTCGTCACTTACGTCCAATGTGTGACTCTTGAGATCCAGTGAACAACCATTTGCCTGTAGAAAATCGAGTCCAAGGATGCATTCCTCAAATATTCCAGCCACAAAGGCAACTTGCGCAAACTTTTGCGTGCCAAAAAGAAATGTAAGTTCACATGACGCCGTGATTGGCGCTGTTTCTCCTGTGACAGTGCGCAGTGAGCACCCAGAAAGGCGTTTGTATGATGTTACGGGTGTCTTTATTCGTTCATATACATCAGTTCTTACGATTCTGGCGTTGGCTGCGGTGTCAACAAGCATCTTACATGGTACGCCTTGTATTTCCCCATCAACAAAAAGCCCGTTTTTGTCAGCTCGTAACTTTTGAACTTGCAGCGTTGGGACCGGCTCTCTCTTTTCTTTCTCAGCCGAAATTTGGCCGGTAAGCTCGGCTGGAATTAGTTTTCCGGAGTGGAATAGCCTTTTTCTCCTTTACTACGCCAGCTGCAATATCTCTGGATGTAGCCCTTTTGGCCGCAGCGCCAGCATGTTGGAGATGGCCTCTGATGAGGTGGCATCCCTGTTGCCTCGTGAGAAGTTTGCCGATCCGTGTTGAGAAGCGGCACTGGATGTAAAGCAGACGACGTGCCTGGCTGATACCCACCTGGCACTGTGACCCGCCGGGTGGCTCTTACTGCCTTCGTCGTTGCCTCCACCTCCATAGCTCGTGCAACAGCGTCACGCATGCAGGCAGGTGACGACAGGCGGACAAACTGTTGTACTTCAGTGTCTCCGATTGCGTCTAAAAAGTGTCCCACAGCCACAGAGTCCAGTGTCGCAGTTGTGCAGCCTTGATACGAGAGTCGTGCAAGCCTCTCGATGTCAATGGCCAGTTCTGACAACGATTCGTTTCGTCCTTGTATCCGCGTTCGGAGAGTGGCGTGGTAGAGCCGCCCGAGGTGCTTCTCACCAAAGCGCCCTTCGAGTGCTTCCTCAAGCGCCCTGTAGTCCCGCTGGTTGCCAGGAGGAAGGTTCTGAAGCAGCTCCTAAGCTGGTCCTCGGAGTGTAGATGCCAGGAACGCTCCTCGCGAAGCGGTAGTCCAATCGTTTAAGTCCGCGACGAGATCAAAATGCACTTGAAAGGCATTCCAGGGGCTGCGTCCAGCATAGGTGTCGAGCTTGACAATCATCTTCTGCGAAGCCAAAGCCAGCTGTTCGTTAGCATCCTCCAAAGGTAGTATCTGCTGTCTGTTATCATTTTCGGTTTCTGCTGGGGCTTGCAAGGAGAGATCTGCCGCGCTAGCAGTGCCGCCTTCGCTCGTACCTCCAGTAGTCTCGCCGGACCGCGATGGTGGGTGCAGCGCTCCTCGAGGTCCCGTGGATTGGCGTGATGACCCGGTCCCAGGATGAGGCTGGAGTTGCGCGGAAACCTCCCGACGTAGCTCTGCTAAAGCTCGCCGGTCTTCGTCTCGGTGATGATTCTGCTCCTCTCGCAAGCTGGCCAACGAAGCTTGTAGCGCGCCGATCGCTCTCATCACCAGGTCAGGCTGAGAGGTGTTGGGATCTTCCATAATCCCACTTCTGACACCAATTGTTAAGAAAATCAAGACGGTTTCCATCGCGTGAGACAACAATATATATATATATATATATCATTAATTGTTGTTCTTGTATTAAAAGTTTTTATTTTTTTTCTGTCGGTCGATCAGCCAGTAGGGCAGGGGGCCTTGTCAAGCTGCACTTATGCGAGTTTTTCCCTTGCCTCCATCACCAATTTGTGATGTGGGAGTAAATAAAATTAATTGAATGCGTATATTCCCTGAAAGGAAGCCCTGCCAACCAGTGCTTTAACGCTAGCTTTAGCGGTCACGTACCCTGGTTTTTATCCTGCTATTTCACGTCTCCTTATTGTCTTCTAAGTATGTGCTCGTTCTTTTCCCTGTCTCCTTCTGCACCTTCTCCCAGCACACGTGAGAGAGTGGTGTCTCGGCATATTCTATAATTTGTGTCCAGTGTTGGGTAAAGCATATCTAAAAATAACTTGAAGTAAAATACAAAGTAAAGTAGAGGTTATGTACTTCAACTAAAGTAGTCAACACACTGGGTACAATATCCTTGAAGTACTATAAATACAATGCACTTTCAAAATAAAGTACAAGTACTTTTTAATACAATCTTTCTTGATGCCCTTTCAATCACATGTGCAGTGTTTTTTAACGGATGTGCGTTGCCCCAGGGGTAATTGGTGGTGCATCAGTTATGTTCGGAAATGGTGGCGAGTATTGGATGAAGTCAAGTGTTTTCAGAGTTGACACAGCATCATTTTGTGATATATATTTAACATGAGCAAATTTGTGGAATGTACTTTGAAGTGGCGATTTGTACACTCCTCGAAAAGTGCCATAAGAAATACTCTAAGTACAAGTACACACTCAGATGATGTACTTAAAGTAAGGTAAAACTATTCTAAACCTTCTTGAAGTATTTCGTTAAGTGCAACGCACAAAGTGTTTTCCAACACTGTCCGTGTCATAGATAGCGTAGAACACAGAGAAAGCTGCTTGCGAGAGCCCGTGTCTCCATTTAACGTTTTATTTGCACACGATCTCGTGCAAATGAGGCGCTAGAACTAGCTTGACGTTCGAGTCGGTGGCTTCAAGTGCGGTGAAGACTAAGTTTGAAACGAAGTATATAATTAACAACGCCGTATTCCTGCATTTTCAACGTGATCTACTGGAGGACACCGAGGGACATATTCTACACGAGAAACACGCCAGCCTTTGATTGAGACTCGTGCTGAATCAGTGAGGACATAAGCTCGACCACCAGGACGTTGACGCGTCACTCCTGTCCAATCAATTTTTGCGTGACGCTCTTTCGCTGGTGGAAATGGGTCGCTGGAAACTGCTGCGCGCTAAACATATCACACATTTTCTGTTAAAAAACAGCGCTGTGGTTTGTTCCTTATCTTATCTTGCCACAGCTTTATGCACTGTTTGTTTTACTATGGTGATGAGTTGTGAACTCACACCTTCGTAAGCGCCTCTACTTTCTGCTTTGTACGAAGAAATTTTTTTCTTCTTTATCTACTGTTAAGATTCATTGTGATGTGGATGAATTCAAAGACAGGCATTTCAAAGTAGTAAGGCAAGAGAGATGGGGAAAGTGACTAAAGAATTCGGAGCATCTTGCTTTTAAGCTCCATTTTACCCCTTCCTGGGCCGGTTTGCTGATACTTGTGGCATCTCAAATATCGGCTAAAATATTCACAAGAGGTATTTTCTAGTCACGTTGAGTGGCTCAGAGGGCAGAATGTACCTAGCGTTCCAACCAATTTGCTTAGAAGATCTAAGCCTTGCCTGTCGTTTTCTTCTATTCTTGTCAAAAAAGACCTTGCCAGAAATAACTTTACGCGCCGCTTCTGAAGTACACAAATACGGTTTATTTCACTTACATTTCAAGCTCATTCATCCTATTTCTGCGTGTTGAATTATATTTGAATAATCTAAGCGAGGGTAGAATTACGGCAGCAATTTGTCTAGTCTCAGTGTCAACAATTTTGTTCTGCATAAGGCTGATTCATACATTTGTGTCGGTTGTGTTCCTTAGCAATTAAAACGAGAGCAACGACAAAGCCACCAGGACAATTGTTCGCCGTACAAAACGTGTCGAGCAACGCAAGAGGTAGCTTTGCGAAGCAATCATGAGTGACGTTTCTTCCGGCGTTTTGGTCACTTCTGCCGTTTTGGTTGTTGTGACCGTAACCGTTGCAAACGTGTGAACCAGCCTTAACACTTTCAGAGCTACTTGCGTGAGCACATCGCTTTGTTTTGGCGTCACCTTCCTACGAGAGCTTAACGAGAGCGCGCTTGAGACGCCGGGTGACGCCGCGTGCTCCGGCAGTAGTGTTGGGCTGCAGCACTGTGGAAGCCGCGTTAGCCTTGACAACGTAGCAGAAAATAGTTGACGAGGACTTTTTTATACCTACCTTGTCTCCACGAAGCAGGTCATGCGACAAGAAAATCTCCCTTGCGGCTATTTTATCCACCGGGGGAGATAGCCGCATTGATAAGCAAACCGCTCCTGGCTTATTGTGGGGAGATTGTTCACTTCGACATACCGCTTTTAACTTTTTTTACGCTACATTTTTTTTTTTGGTGGGGGAGGGGGGATGATTACCTCGATAATGACGTCAGAACCTTCCACGTATGTTCCGGACGTGTCTCCTCGAGCCACCACGAAACTCAGCATGAATTTCAGGTCCCCGCCGTAGGAGTACAGCTGAAAGAAAAGAGAGAGACCTTGACTCCACACTTATCGTGGAGTGAGCCCTGATGAAACGACGAGAAGGAATCCGAACGAACATACCCTGTTGCCCAGGTACTTCTCGGGTGCTTGCCAATAGTACATGTTGAGGACTACGTCATCGTCGGCTATGGTCAGCTTTCCCGGCTCCTGAGTCGGCCTGAACTCTCGGCGGCCTTCCAAATCCGTTACAATCCAGCCTTGAGGCTCTTTCACCTATTCGACGTGGATTGGGCATTGTAACCCCTTTTGAGACTTAGAGGTGCCCTGAGTAAGTTTGTGAGATAGCCTAAATGTGGCGATAACTCGCTCTGCTACTAAGCATCCTAGAAATGCCTAAATCATGAGAATACGCGGTCGATTTCCATATTAAAGAAGCCATCAAATATCGCAGAACACCGATTTCATCTCAGGCGATGGTAGGAGCAAGTTCCGAAACCAGGACCGTTGTCAGCCAAGAGCAAGCGAAGAACCCTCGCGCCTCTGAACGGTGGAACCGCGGAGTGACATCTCGAAAGCGTGTGGCTCGTTGCCCACACAGCCCGAACTACGATTTGACCCAGTGAGCGCGCGCTCGAGAGCTGACAACCGAACACACCACTCTCACAAAAAAAACAAAAAACAAAAACAAAAAAACATTGTGCGTTGTTTTTGAGATGATTATTGCAGTATTATGTTTCCTCTCCACGAAAAATTTGTTTTCGACTACTCTTACTTGCTTTTATCTTCTACAAAAGCATACACATTTTGTAATAAGGTTGATAGCTGGGCTAGTTGGTGGTAGCTGGGCTAGTAGGTGGGCTGCAGCACTCTGTCCTGTCTGGTTTGTCTCTTCCTTTTTGTAACTTGGCGCTGTTTTATTCCATTACGTACACATTTCGTGCTAACATCGTTTGCAAACTAAATGAAATGTAGCGTTTTCATTGGTCACACGTTGTCCTGGCTACCGGTACAATGCTCCTCTCATCTCCGGAGATGACCTCGGTGTTCACGATCTTTGATTGCTTTTTTTTTAGGAAAATCGGCCGCGCATTCTTATGATTTATGGGTTTCTAGGATGCTTAGATCCCGCAGAAAGAGTTTTCGACATATTTCAAACACCTGCACAGGGTACCTCTAACAGTGTCAAAATAAAACTAAGGAGACATGCTCACGGTCTCGACGCCCCAGTCGCTGGGGCGGCAAACGCTGGTGACGCCGAAGCAGTAGCACGAGGAACAGCCTTCGGGATTTGTCTCGGACAGGTCGTAGTAGCCGTGGGCGCACTGGTCGCACTGCTCGCCTTCCACGTGTTTCTAAAAGAAAAAAAAAATCCTCAGGGCAAAGCACCTCGTGTCACCATAAGTCAGATCGCTGTCAAAGACTAGAGGACACAGCAACACAGATGTGACCTGAAAGTGCAAGGTTTAGGAGCATTTGCTGAGCTTGATTGGATTAGTCAATAGTCAATAATAACACACGCAAAAAGAGGTGAGAAACGCCGTGGCATTGCTCTCTTGGGGCTCCTTGATTCGCCTTACGTGCTTGTGCTGTTCGGCTGTGCTCAGACTTAAAGGGAAGCGAGGCTTACAGGTACAACTTTAAATATTTTAGTAAAAGCCTTTTGATACCATATAACCTCACCTATTTTGTTTTAAGGCCAGGTAATTTATTTATTTACAGCCACGATTCTTGGCAATATGTTTGCAATTCATAAAAAAAAAATCCAGCGAATGATCGCGTAGCAGTAGCGTTTTCACATGTTACTCTTCGCGGTAAACTTCCACCAGCTCGCCGGCACTCCAAATAGGTTTTCACTGTCGCGTGACAACAGTTATACGTGCTTTTATTCTGGCCAGTCTGTGCTGGGCTTTTCACATGGCCGGGGTCGATCACATATAAAATCTGAGGACAGAAATACTTCCTTTTAGTTGCTTGAATGTTTCATTTAGGGCCATTATGCCTTCCGATGATCGCATAGCTTTTCTCGTGAAAGAGGGCTGGAAAAGAGAAAGGGTCCACGACACCTTGCATTTGCACGGTCCCTCGCACTGGTCTGCGTCGATGGTGCCAGCGTAGTGGCAGGGGCAGCGGTCGCAGCGCGGGTAGTTCCGGTAGCCCCGCTGGCACCGGTCGCACTTGGGGCCCGTGAACCCTTCGCGACACAGGCAGTCGCCAGGGAACTGGGAGGGGGAGAGAGAGGAGGGCGCTCTGCTTCAGTGCATCTGGGAAAGGCTCCTGGTGAACCTGAAATCACTCTTAGTGCGCTAAGGTTGCGTATCCAAAAAAAGTCTAGAAGGCCTATAGTCTAGAAACGTCTTGCTTGATGAGTCCAGAACATTTCAATATCGCTCCTCTGCCCGCCGCAGCATGAGCCAATAGGAAAACCGAAGAACATATAGCGAAGTACGAAGCATAAGGACCCACGCCCTGCGGTTCTGAAACTGTGAGTGACCATAGATAGAACCTGAAACTTGGGGCTCATAACGCACGCATTATCTTTTTTGAGGTAAGTCGTTTTAAGTGGAGGTGCTCACCTAAATTTACATTGTCTCTGTTATGCTATTATCGCAAAATGCAGTATCAAATGAGTGATCAACACTATACTAGACCTATCTGGTTATTTCTGTTATATATATTTTTCCTCATGCTATGCCATATTTTCTTTTTATATTTTTACAGCATTAGTTGAATCTAATATTCTTCCACCTCACCTGAAAGTAGTTATATAATTCCGATTTATTTTATTAAAACGCAAGCTCATCCTTTTCTAGGTTCCCTTATACAGTTAGCTTTATGATACTGCTATGAAATTACTTATATTTTTTAGAACGGTATGATGAGCGCTAACGCAAAAAGGGGAAGACATCTGAAACAGTGCTGTAGAAAAGGCAAGGTTAGCTTTTCTTCTTGCTACTAGGTTTCTTTGCTGACGGACCTCCAGTCCATTTTTTCATTCTTTCTAAGCGATCTGGTTTACTCGAAGACTGCGTCACAGGTGACGTACGAGCCCCTCGTGGATGTGTGAGTCGTCCGAAACGCAATTCCCCGTCGCTCCTGGGCCGGAACAGGAGCACTTGCGGCACGGGTTCCGGTGGTCCCTGGGCACTCCGCGGGGCCGGAAGTAGCCTTCCTGGCACTGTTGGCAGTTGATGCCGGCCGTGTTGTGCTGCCGAAAAGGACATCGGTTGAGAAATGCATCCGGCGGAGTAACCGTGTATGCGATGCTATGAAATAACCCATTTCCTTTGTTTTAAAGCATGGAATGCTTGTTAGCGGAACCTCCTCTAATCTCAGATATTTTCCCGTCCGTCGTTCGTCTGTTTGTGCATTTCCTCGCCCAATTTAGCGAACCAACTGACGTCACGTAATATCAGGATATCACGCTACACCAAAACTTGACGCCGTGACGTCGATTTGCCATATAAATTTAGCGTGGAAATTGATTTCACGTGACTATGTCATGTGTCTCAGGCCACGTCACGCAATGAGTTCACGCTGTCGTCCTGGTGCCATGTGATATCATGACGCCACTTTACGACAGGGAATGTGGTATTAATTTTCCCGCTAAGTTTGGCGATGAAATTAATAAACAATGTTTTTTTTCTCTTTTTCGCCCCTCGAAACAATTTGTTCCAAAGAAATTTAAATTATCGGTCTTTCAATATTGCATTCCTGTCTATAACTTAGGAGATAAAAGTCGTTGGTAATCGTTTAGTTCCACTGTAAACAGCTAGCAGAAATGATTCTTCAATGCTTACGGAGCAGTTTTGGCAGACTCCGCCGCCATGGTATTCGCCATGGATGTTGAGGCTGGTTCCGCTTTTCGCCACGTTGGAATCATAGATGCACGAGGTAGCATGTCCAAAGCACTGGCATTCTGCAAAGAGTCCAGAGTCAGCTTTATATAAACTCGGAGAAGGCGCACGAAATCACCTTGACATTCCGCCGCGTCACCATGAGTGCCCATCCTCCATGGCTGCTGGTTGAACATGGGGCAGCACCTCTCACAGCTCGCGCCACAGGTGTTGTGTTCGCACTTGCAGTGAAGCTGCAAAACGTGCCAAGTCCCGCGCGAAGCTCGTTAGAGACGCTATAATGTTTGAGGACTGGCACCTCAAAAGGAATTATGTATTTTTTTAAGGGCCGTCAAACCGAATTAGGCTTAGACCAAGTTTGTGGTTAGCCGAGATTGAAGAGTTAAACATCTAAAATACCGCAAAAAAAAAAAAAAAAGGCAAGCACAAGAAGCAACAGGACAAGCGCTAAACAAGATAGCGCTTGTCCCGCTTACTTTTTGTCCTTGTCTTTTTCTTGGGCTATTTTATAGGTTTAAGTAAAATGATCCAACTAAACCAACAACGCACCCTACAAGATTGAAAAGCCTTACCTCCCCGTTGGGCTTTGGCGGGCACTCCTGGGCGTGTCCGGAGCACACGCATTGTCCACCAATCGAGATGTCTTTGATGGAGTAGTAGTACTGTAAAAAAAAAAAAAAATCAGGTTCCATCGTTTTCTAGAGCTTTTCAAGCGCCCGGCAAGTACGCACCCTGCGCGTAACCGACTTGTCCACCTTGTCTGCCTCGCCGACCTGGAAGCTCATGAGGTCCGCGTTCAGCGTCCGGATCCGCTGGAGCCTCAGTCGTACATAGCGCGCCTTCGTGAAATCCTGCGTTCCGGTGATCCATGTAGATTACCCTCTTCCTTCTTGGCGTCTAGCGAAGCGCTTACCATCAACTTTTCGCTGAACTCTTCGGCACCGGGCCTCCCATTCACGAGAGACGTGTGGACCTAGGATACAAAAACGGTTCAAAGACGTTCAAGAGGTGAAGAAAATAGCTAATTGGACAAATTACCTTTATTCTCTATGGCCATCGGATGCTGCGAAGTGTTATACGGTTTTGAATAAACCGTTCTACTTATTTGGACAACGTCGTGCTCTGAACGCCTAATGTGGAGGCGTGGTTTTGTTCAATCTAATTTCTCGTGAGCTACGTGACTAGCAGATGAAGACTAGTCATCCACAGTGGAGAATGGCAAGTTGTTAGTTTTTGAATTTTTATCTATCGCACAAGTTACAAAATAGGATCATCTATTTCCAAGGCCTCGACCACACGCCCGTAGCCTCTGCTATGCTCTATAAGCTAGGGTAAAACCGAGTGCAGTTCTACTCATGACATCGTCGCGAAACAACCAAATTTTTCGACCACAAAAAAAAAAAAAAAAAGAAGTTCACATTCCTATTGACCCAACTAATCCCTATCCACCGAAGAGACAAAATGCGTGAGCATTTTTTCGTAAGACAGCACAGGAGCACACATTTTTTAAAAGTTTGCTCTAAAGAAGTGCCGTCGATAGGCAGGGTAGTAAAGAGTTCCACTGGGGTACCCAATATCCCGAGCAACCCCGCACTCGCCTCTCCGTCTTCAAAAGGTGTGAGGCTCGAGTAGTAAGAAGTGCAGATGACTTCATCGTCGGTCTTGTAGACGGGTTTTCCTGGTGTGGGTGCGATGCCATAGGCCTCCCAGCACTCGGCGTCGGTGATGGCATAAAACTGCCACGGCCGGTAGAAGACCCCGTCGATTGACCGTTCCAGGATCCAGTTGCCCGGCCGGGGAGAATTGGCCGTCTTGAGAATAATGTACGCCACTTGGAACACCTTGAATAAGTATAAGATAGACAGAAAATCGCGTTAGGGAAAACAAAGAAACATAGGGAGACACTGTTCTTCACTCGTGGACATGCTCTTTTTAAAGCATGAAATGCTTTTTAACGCTACCCCCAATTCCAAAATTTGGTCCATCCGTCCGGGTATTTTCCGTTAAATTTAGCGGGGAAACTGGCGTCACGTGACGTTACGTGGCCTATACACCTTGGAAAAAGTTACCACACGTGACTTAGACGTCAACTTGGTTTCCCCGCTAAATTTAGCGGGAATATTCGCGTCTTGTGTCCAAAATTTAAATTCAGTTTTCCCGCTAAATATAGGGGGAAATTGACGTCGTGTGACCTATCTACCAATTCAGTCACTCGCTAAATTTAGCGACAAAATTCGCGTCTTGTGACTTCCACACAAATCCACTTTCCCCGCTAAATTCAGTGGGGGAAATCGACGTCATGTGATCTATACGAGCATTCAGTTTCACCCCTAAATTTAGCGGGAAAATATACGTCACGTCACACCAATCCCCACGTGAATTTCGTCACCAATCCCCCAAAATGAATTGCGTGCCTTATAGGACTTTTAAAGTAAAGGTCGCAGCCAATATATTTTTTATGTTGAACGGCATTGTTATTTTTATGCAGTGTTGTAGGAATACGAAAGAAAAAAGAAAGAAGGAATGAAATATGTTACATGTCACTTGCAAATAAAAGGGACGGGGTACCGTCTTACGTTACCTCAAAATAAAAGGAACGCGCTACCATTACCGTTACGAAAAAAAAGTAATGCACGTCACTTTTGCGTTACTCTTTTAATTATGAATCAACACGTTTTAGTGTCTAGACGTTACAGATATGCATGAGCACCATATTACAAGAAACATTATGTACACGCAGAAACTGCATGTAATTACCTTATCTTATTTCACGGGTTTACGTAAATGCTCACAAGAAAAAACGCAAAGAGATACGCAACAAAACTAAAACACATTGCTTGTAGCCTACAAACACACGAAAAAAAAATTAAATGTAATTTTTTAAAGTCTTGGCAAGAAACTGTAATGAGTAATACCCTAGTTACACGGGAGCTTTCAACTGCCATTGAGTCAACGACAGTTAACTCAATCGCGATCGGCCGGAGTTACACGGCGGCGCCAACTGTCATCGAGCCGCTAATGACAGTTGAGTTCAACTGAGCTCCCCTACCTCAGTTCAACTGAACGGACTTCCCCAACTGAGGTAAAATGGCGCCTGTCCGCGGAACCGCTGCCGCCGACCATCGTTTCCGATGCACTTACTGTTTCGGAATGCAGGGGGAGGCGTCTAAAAAGAATCGTAGCAGCAAAATATCCGGGAAGGAATAGCTTTATGCGTCCGAGCTGCCGCTAAAACGATCCCGGCTAGCCGGCAAGCCACCAAACGAGCGAAGATGGCGGCGGGACCAGCTGTGTGAATGGACAGATAGTAATGGGTGCACCCATCGTAGCGGGTAGTAGCTAGCTCCACCTAGCCTAAAATATGCGCAACTTAGCCCTGAATCTGCTTTGGTACTGATGTAAACGCCGCTAAAAAGGAACAAAGTATTGAACATAGTGTACGATATACTTATAGCAAATAAAATATGTTTCTCCAAGTAGATTACTTTAACAATTAGACTGGTCACGTGACACAAGAACTAGTTTCGTTTTAGCAACGAGGTAGAGGGGCTTAGAGCGATAAACCGGGGTTCCGGTCTGCACTCGAAAGTGACCCCCATAAGGAGGCTGCCATTGTACGCAAATTTGACCACACGTCACATGACCAAACCAAATACGTGACGTCACAGGAAAGATGGCAGCGCCCATGCAGCGGCTGGCCCCAGCTGGGCCGGAGCTTGTCGGATGCTTTGTTGGTTGTCGTTCGTCTCGGCGAGTTGATTTCAGACGCGGAAGCCGTCATATGAGGCCGGTCGAAAGCGAGTTCAGAGTTCAGCGTGGTGTTTGACGTAGGTATAACGTGAAAATACGGAGAAACTGTGAGCATTTCGCTGGTGACCGACCGGGATATTGCCACGGAAGAGACAATCTGACCTACGTTGCTCGGACCTCGGATTGATTCGGATACCGCTAGGATAAAATTTAAGGCGACGTTTCTGTGCTCTCGTTGACCATCGGAATCTTCGAGGTTTGCAGTGAAGCGTGTGCAATATATTTGGATACACAGTTTAGCGACGGAAATTGCGTGAGTCGTGCTTGGCGGTGTGCAATCGTGGTGCAGCTTCGATCAAATGACCGAGGGCTCACTTCGGTTGTGCGGCGCACCGGAAGGCTGCCTTGAAGCTGGTAGTTCCCGTGCCGTGCTGAATGATGCTGTGCTGCTTACAAATTGTTCCGGCGTAGAAGTGCACTTTCACGGGGCACAAGTGTGCGGCGCACCGAAGAGCTGCCTTCAAGCTGGTAGTTCCTGTGCCATGCTTTAGGTGATACTGTGCTGCTTCCGAAATTGTTCCGGCGTAGACGTGCACTTTCACGGAGCACAGGTGTTGCAGTTGGTATTGATCCCGCTGGTCAGTCGCACGTTCCGTCAACACAAACTTTTCATCCACACTCGTTACGTGAATTGCAAGCTGTCCGGACATTTCACCGAGCGTGTTACGTACCCAGCTCACGCCGCTTTGTAGCAACTGTCTGCAGTGGCTCATTACCAGAAAAGTGGTCCCACATCCATTTCAGTTCAGTTCGTCCACGGCAGTCGCCAAACCCCGAAGGAGAGGATTTATTCGGACAGAATGCCACTAAAGCAATGCAGCTTCTTCAGTGGTCAGGTTAGATTCTCTTCTGCTAGTTTTGTTATACTGTCACGGATCCTTGTTCCAGCCTATCTTCTATCAATATTCACTATTCTGGGGCACTGCAGGTCATGCTCAGCTGTAATCGTATGTTCAGGTGGAGGTGCTGGGCACTTTACCCGTAGCCCTTCACTCTGTGTGAACCCGGCGGCTCTTCAGCCGAGTTACCCGATAATGGGACACGGCTGGCGGACTATTCCGCGTCTTATACCCCTGTCGAGCCGTAGGCAAAGTCCTGACCCGATCCTGGCAGAACAACCGCAAGACGACCGAGTACCACAAGGAGTAACCTCGGAAATACACCACGAAGCACCTGAAATCCGAGCCAGTTGCTGCTACCAGGAAAAACCACCGGAATTCAGTCTCCTGTCAGAAAATCCGAACCTGACTAAGCCAACAATGACAAACCTGTAGCAGCAAACCGTGTCCCCTCCCACCATTGTTTGCATGCCCGTCGCAAATCACACTCCGACGCTTTTTCACGCAAGCTGTATGAAGACGTCGAGGACTGGATTGAACAATATGACAGTGTCGCCCGCCACATTGGGTGGACAGACAACCAGCTCCTGCAGAACCTATACTTCTCATGGAAGCAACTGCCGGCGCTGATCTGAGAACCATGGATCCTCCTTAACGTCATGGGAAGTTTGCAAGATCAAGCTGAAGCGCGCATCCGTCAGCCAACATCAACGAAAGAGAGCCGCATTCTTGATTCTGCCCAGGACACTGCCCCAATGAGAGCGCCACCGAACTCATGGAGGATGTTTTGCGTTTGATCGAGCGCCCACACCCACGCCCACGCCGACCTTGATGCTACAGAAGACAAGAACCTAAGAATCCCATGCGCCTCACGTGAGGGACAACACCTTCGGCAGCCTTGTCCGCAACCCCCCAACAACAGTCGAAGTGTTCATATCACTGAGGCTTCCAACATGGGATGTGCACTGCAAGCCCGAGCCTGCCACTATGAACAACTTCCCGGCGTCTCGACACTCGAGTTGTCCAGCTACTACTTCGACGCCAGCCTCCCAGGCATCCACGACATCACCCACGACGTTGTCTGGGAGGAGATCAGGAAGCTACTTCCTGCCATCAGTTGCCCGGCTTTTATTTTGATTGCCGAGATTGTTTCGGAACAAGTTCGACAGGTATTTCAACCGAGACTTCTGCGAGCGAAGCGGCATCTGACAAACCAAGGGCAACTTACGCCACAATGGCACGACGACCGCCACCGGCTGCCCCTTAGTATTCAATGCCAATTCAATGAGACACTCTAACGCCGAAGCATTCCCGACATCGTGTGTAGGACTGTGCTCAACAAAGTACACCGAGGAAAACGTAGGTGATGCGAATGTGCGACCGAAAACCACTTTGCTACCACTGCATGAAGCCGACCATATCTACCAAAGCAGCCCGTACCAATGAATTGGTCGGCGAGGGTTCGTGCCAAACGACCTTCGATTACGTCTCGAGGAGCGACCACGGGAGATTAAGGATTACCTTCGGCGACCTTTGTCCCTGATGCCGAAGGTGCTGAATCGAAGATTCTGAATCCCTGATTACCCCAAAGCTCCTCATGTCCATCACCTCAACAAGAGGTAAGCACGACAAAGCAGGTGAGCGGCGATGCAGTGACAGTGGATTTGGTGTCGGTTGTCGTCCAAGGACAATACCTAAAAATTTGCTGACACCAATTGTCTGTGTCCACTCCACGAAGCACACAATTTCCAACTTTGAGGGAGAATGCCCCTGAGTGACTTGAAGGAATAGAATGGTTGGTTGCTTTTAAAAGTGAACTGCAAGCATCACCAGACTTGGATAGCAAACAAAAATTGTTGCCAGCTTTCAAGTCAACGGTGCAGCAAAAGGCACAGTCACGTAAGCAATACATGCCCGAGCTTGCGACATTGATGCCGAAAACTACCAGGAAAGTTTTCGGATTAGAAGCAAGCCCTGCAGCTTCAGTGCACATGAATGTATGATTACAAGACAGCATCAGTCGGTCAAAGTTGCCACTCGACCAAACTGAACACCGACGTGCCAGGAGCGTCATCCGACAACAAGGTCCACAGGTACTACGACTGAACGCCTGACACGAGACTGTCGCAGAAAGAACTTGTTATGGAACTATTTACTAAGAATCAATAATTATGTAATCAAGTGGAAATAAA